GTGGCTGACTAAACAAATTCGTGACACTATTCTCATCTAAAGTACTACTGGCGGTTATAAATGTATTATTTTGTATTTGCATAGCTACGACTTCATCCGTTTTTTGCTTTTTCGATAAATCTAAATGTGAGCATTTTAAGTCCTTAAAACAGAATAGTGAAGAAGCCAAACAGAATTATGAGATAGACCTATCTAACATATTGTATATAAAATTCGTAGTTTACTTACTTTGCACATTTTTTCAAGAGAGTTTTTGATTTCCTCTATCACATTAGTTAAACTTAATAATGTGGTTTCAATCTAAAAAATATATATATTATTAAGGATAAGTGTTAAGCTTTAATTAGAACTTCTTTTTACTTACTTCAGGTACTAAATAGTTGACTAAATCCGCTTTTTCCTCAGCAGTTAAACTAATAAAAACATTTAAAATATTTCTAAGTAATTGCTGAACTTGAGACATAAAAATAGGTATACGTGTGCGTATATATTTAATAATCTCATTCTTCTGATATCTGGATATATCAGCGGCATCCTTTATGAATATATTGCAAAACTGCAAAACTTTGGCACATCCTGGAAGAGTTAAACAAATCAGATTTTAGCAGATTTGTACTTAAATAATTTTGCTTACCAATTGCACATTCTCTTAAACAATCCTGAAAGGTCGCATATAACGTGGCGGGTTCATTTGATATGGTGACGGGATTAATTGTTTGTATAATGCGATTTAAAATACCATGCAAGTCCATTATAATATTAATAACAACTGTAATAAAAACATTTATTATCCAAACATTTACATCACCCTGTATAACTAGTATTACTCACATTTCTTGAGCCTTATCAATTTGAGATATTTCCTTGTGGGTTCTACCATTTTTGTTAGCGAAGGTTGAGTTTCAGCAAAATTGATTAATTTCTCGCAAACATCCTCATCCATCTCTGGCAACAATGATTCGGTATAAAGCCAGTGTAAAATTGGCGTGAGAAGAAAAGAAGGTAAATTATAAAGCACACCGACTGGTGTAAGTGGTGATGAAGGCGGTGTATCCATTGAACTTGGAAATGGTGAAGGGCTACGTGCCCGGTATGGTGATAAAGGTGGTCGTCTAGTATTGCAGACTGTAGTGGTTTCTTGCGGTTGCAGCATGAAGTCGTGGTTGAAATTGAAAATGTTTTTGGAATGCGCTTGTGTCTCCAAGTGTGAATCAGAGTGGGAAGTTTGATTGAATCGTCTCATACCTGTACCAGTTTCATGACCAAATAATGTTGTGCTGCCATTACTATTGTACATGTAATTTGTGCTTAGACAATTGAAGGAGTTTGAAAGGTTAGAACTACGATGTGCGCTTAAGCCACTAACTGCAGTTATATTGAGACCAGGGTATTCGGTTGGCGGTTGCAAATAGATTGGTGATAGATTTAGTCGAGGTAGTGATTTTTGATTTTCTTCAGAGGCTGCACCAACTGTTGTTGGCATCGGTATTGTTACGGATATTTTAATTGGATTCGATGTTGTGGAACCACTTGTGCTTTCCTTATATTTCTGTTCTATATTGTGTGTTGGCATAAGTTGCTCCTGCGTTTGTTGTCTTTGCAATGTTTCATGCTGTTTGCAACTAGTTTGTATTATGCTCGCATTTGATAGGACGCACATACTGCAATCGAAGCCATTGAGCCGTAACACAGCGGAGTGTACGTGATACTGTGAAGAGAAAAAAGGAAGTTAAAAAAAGACTAGACACTAACAATTTTATATTGACTATTATAAAATGCATAATTATCAACTCTTAGATAGAACTATATAAATAATATCAGGTCGATATACACATTAGGTAGGTTGAAGTGGTGGCCTTGTTTCCAAAAAACTTACTTGAACTCATATAATGGCATATTATGGAACCATTGTGCCGAGAAAAATTAACGACTCCCCCATTAGGTAAAGGAAAGCCAACCTAACAGTTCTATAAATTTGGCCCTAATATTACAGGATAACAGTTCGGTCAGGTCGATAATAAAACAGGCTTCGAAGATTTTTAATCTTCTCCTAACTAAAGAAGGGTACTAACACATGAGATGGAGCACGGTCTTCTCCTGACTCTCAGAGCCACAGATGTGACAAAAATCATTATAGGGTAGACCCAGTATCACAGCATGTCTTCCTATATCGCAGTAACAGGTCACCACAGATGCCGTTGTGCTGAGCAGGTTCCGCCTTAGTTGAAGTAGCTGACTAGTGCGTTTTTTAATCAAGTTAGACTAAATCAACCTTGATGTCTGACAATGCTGTTCATTGATGCTTGGCAATGCTCAGGTATTTTGTTTTATTGCCATTTTAACTGTAGCAAGTGAAACGCCTATTTCTGAGAAGTAAATGTCAGGGAGAAGAGCGTCTGACTTGGGAAGCTGCAGTTGCGCGAGATGTCCCTATGTTCCGGAACCTATATGAGTTGGATCACGATACGCCTAGCTATGTCATTGAGGGAAGCTCGACAATTTTGAGTAATATTTGATTTGGCTAAAATGCGTATGATTGATTTAATGACAACTTGGCTATCCGAGAATATTGAAATAGAACCATCAGGTATTTGATTGCATAGAACCCATTGTACTGCATAATGGATTGCGACTACTTTTGCCTGAAAAACACTGCAGCGGTTTGGCAGTCGGAGGAAGAAGTTGAGATCTAATTTTCTAGAGAATATGTATACATTAAGTTCGAATTCATTTAATATAAAGATATTAAAAGTTGTCTTCTTAAAACATAACATTATAAAATAAAAATCTAAAACAAAATAATATTTTATGTAAATTGTTTTTAAATTCATTTAGTTTAAATTATAAAATAATAACAAAAGACAGTAAGCCCCCCTATAACGCCGTAGATTAGTTCCGCGTTATAGGAAAACTTGTTATAGGGATATTCCCGTATACCCCGTATCAACACGTGCAAAGGTATGCGAAGCTTATTATGAACTGTCCAAATTCCCACGTTATATGGGAGTATGCATTGATATCGCGTAATATGAAAGCGTTATAGGGGGGATTACTGTATTGAATAAAAATTATAGAAATAAAAACCTTTTTAATCAGTGCAATAAAAACATAAAGCGTTCCTTGAAAACTCAATTTAAATCTATAAAAAATTAATATAAATTAAGAAAAAATTTAAAGGAAATAAATTTGATAATTTTTAATTATTTGCTTACTTCCAAATTATTTGAGCTTTTTATGACCACATCACTGAAATATGTTTCACTTAAAGCTTCAGCAAATGAAAATTCCTTTTCCTGACCAGCTGCTTGACTCTCCTTCAGACGCTTACACTCCAAAGCATACCAATTCTCACAATCCAAAACTAAGATATCAGTCGGTGTTAAGGTATTTGTCTAAGAAAACATAATCCAAGCAATTATTTTAAGCTCAAAGGGCATTACTTCAAGCGCTTACTCTAAATTCTATGCTATGTCCAGCAAATGCTCCGAATACTAAACGTGGATTGGTATCGTTAACATCGTATGTCTCACAACTAAATAAGACACTAGCTGAATCGCAGCAGGTGCCACAGTCTTTTGATTCAGGAAGGGGACTAACCAAGTCATTGTACCAAGTTATATCGCTCGTATCATCCAAACGAAATTTTATACTATAACATATCAAAAAAAAAAAAGAGGAATTTAATATTTTCTTAAAGTAAAATCTTACACTTAACACTTACCCCTCTAATCCAGAAATTTCTGTTTTGCCCTCAAAAGTGCAGGACACAATCTTGAGTAAGAAGAAGAGAAGATAACAATTTTTTAATAAAAGATTGAATGAAATATTTATAAATAAAATATTACTTACCTCCCAAGTGCCTATGAAGTTGTGCTCCACTGCCATTTTTCCAGCACGCCAACGTGGGTAGCGCGGTTTGTCAGCGGGTGGGGCTGCTGCTCTAACTACATGAAAAAAACGCTTTGGCTGGTGGTGGGTTTTGGGTGCTTAAAATTTGATGAATCCTACAGATTTTTGCTCTACTGCCGCGTGAAAATTCCCTATTATGCATTGCACACACTTATTTTGTTTAAATAAATAAAATATTTGCATATTTAACTATGCATTTTTTCTACAAAATATTGCTTTCAATTTTCCCCCCGTTCGCGTGTGTGTGTGAATATGTGTTTGTTTGTGTATATGTGTGTGTGAAATATTAAATTTTCAACTGCTCCATTGTCCTTTTATTTAATGCCAATTCGGTTGCAATATTCATTAAATTCGTTCACTATTTTTAATTTATTTATGAAAGCACCTCGTTTTCTTTATATTTAATAAATAATTTAATGCTTTTATTTACTTTCACCTATGGCATTTTAATTTTCAAAGGCTCAGCCACAAATTTCATGACTAAAAGTAAAATTTTTCACTGCAACAAAAAGGAAGGAAAGTATCGTCAAGGATGGAGAGAATTGAGAGAAGAGGCAAATGTCAGACATAAGCAATGCGAGTACGCGGAACTCAACTGCTGCTGCTCAGCTGTTAAAGCAACAACGGCGAAAGGAGGAATAATAATAGAAATAATAAATTAACTTTTGGCGCGAAAACAGTGAACATATGAAAACGGTCAGCTGATTTGATAGCAACTGGTTAAGTTATTTTGCAATTATTTGCATTTTTTAAGCATATAGAAAGAAATTTACTTGATTAAAATAAAGTTAAAACTTTATAAAATTTAATTATTTTAATATACTGATCAAAAAAAGTATATTTTTCCTTTAAGTTTTTTAATTTAAAGGAACTGTTTTTGCCCATGTTTGTAAAGAAGATGACAATTTACCGATAAATAAATTTGTTTGCAATGTGCGCCAAAAAGTATGCAATGTATTTTAATTGAAGTTATTTACATTGAAAAATCATGCAAGCTGATAAGAAACTGTCGGTCTTAATAGTAATGCTTCAGAAACTCTGGAAAAACTCGAATAAAATTTCAACTAAAGCAATGTGCGAGGTCGAGTAAATTGAGATAAAGTAAATTGAAGTTTCCTAGCGATTTTTTGCACTGCACTTTTGTAAATATTTATTTATTTATTGCAATTATTTATTATTTTTAGTTAAAAGTTTTCAAATTTATTTATTTATTTATAAACATCTTATAACATATAAACATCTTTTCACAATGGTAACACCTAATTAACCTAAGTTTTATCTAATTTATCCGATTTGAAATTCTGGTTAATACCAACATTCGCTGCCATATCGACATAATTTATTATTTCCCCCAATTTACTATCAATTTACTCCAACTCGCACACGGCCATAAAAATAACATAATACGAGTGATGACTAATGGTTTAAATAGTTTTTTATTTATCAAAGATTAACAAACTCTTCAAAAATTCTATGTAGTTATGTATATTTATACCAATTTGTTGTGGTGTATTTTTATCAACATATGTTGAGCACTATTGCATGCATGAGTGAAGTGACAGTACTGCAATTTAATTGCAAAGGGATGTATAAATATACTATTTAATTATTTTAATAAATGTAGATAATTTTTATATTGTGCTCTTAATTGTGAGTTTAAGTTTGGCGGCGTGTATGTGACAGACTTCAAGTAAACCGCCATAATGCTCTTATTTTAGTCACTAAAGCTAGTGTCATTAATTAAATAAAAAGTGACAAATAACCTGGAACTTGAGCATTGAAAGTTTGTACAGTCTTTTTGACAGGCACCAGTTCTAAGCCTGGCACTTGCTATCCAAAGAAATTATATACGAACTTATTACGAAATTCGAATATTTTCTAAGACCACTGCTGATGAATACTTGGCAATACTCAAAACAACGTTGTATGGTCAGCCAAGTTTCAATAAATTAAATAAAATTTTGTTCTTGTCTTTTCTTTGCTATTCCAATCCGTCTAGCTAGTAATTTTTGTTTATTATTTTTAGAGAGTTTTATATGATAAGTGTATTCCTGTATAAACATCTACCTGTATCATTTTAACTAATTTTTTTTATGAATTTTGCAAGGCTTCCAATAAGATTATCTGATAGTTATTCGGGGTCCTTAAAAAAGAATTATCCAAGAATAGTAGCATTGCCACAATATGCCGGTATTCAGTGCTACATATCTGCACAATTAATAAGAGATTGATAATTATTCCACTTTGCAGAGGTTGTAAAACTCATCGGTTTGAACTCTTAATCTCTCTGTATGCCTACCTATTAAGCAATAATCGACTACAAAGGATGTATCATTGTCGAAATCGGTCCTGTTCAAATTAATTAACTTTCTTATTTAAAATGAACACAAGATTGCCCGATTTATTCAGTCTTGAAAGGGAATGTGACTGGAAGTCTTGCCTGTTTCTAAGCAGAATCGACAATCTATCTCTTCAGACAGATCCATTTTGTTAAGGTGATAACGTTGTCCGTGGTGACCTTGGTATTCCACCCAACCTCAACTCCCTTCTGCTGAGGAAGGATACCTTACCATAATTGTAAGGATGAACCAGCTCTTTAGTCTGACGGTTAACTGGAATTTCACGCCAGTAGCGGCTTCTTTCGGTAGAAAACCATTTTTCAATCAGAGACCTAGGCCAACTTAATTCACAATAAGGCTTTAGTCTACAGAGTTGAATAGCAGATTCTGACAAATATAATGTAATATATATATAATATAATATAAGTATATAGCTTAACTGTTTCAACTTTTAATTTCTAGAAAATAAAATATAATCCCGGGGTGTTTTTTTCTTTATTTCACTATTATTGTTTGCTAAAAAGAAACTATAAAAATAAAAGAGATGAGATTCAAAGATTTAAAAATCTTGGAATGCTTTTGTTGCTATGGCACTAGAAGTCTCTTCATAACAGTTGCCTTTATATACTGGAATGTTATCCTTTTCCATAATATCAAGTGGATTTACCTTAAAGTAAAATAATATTAAATATTACTGTAAATCACAAATCTGAATGAATGGAATACTTACACTTAATAAATACTCTGCGTTTATTTTGAAATGTTGATAAAGAGCGATTTTCTGCAATCCCAAAACAGAACGCAAACGAAGTTTTGGATCAACTTCTAAGAGACGTTTCAAAACATCCTTGCCTTCATGTGGCAAATCAGCTACTTCAGATGGTAGAAAATTTTGACAATCCAATGAAGCTACCAACGGAAGACTCTCGACTGTGGGCTTTATAAAATCCACAGCATCCTTAGGTGCATTTTCACATGACTCCGGCAAATTGAAAAAAACTTTTATGTCGGGACTCTGAAAAAAAAATAAAAAAGAAAAATTCAAATACAAAATTGATGTTGTCTATTTATACTCTTCAATTAAATCTATAGTTAGATCAGCTGCACATGTCGGTATGCGAGCTCTTTGGCCGCAGTCGCAACATGTTTTCCTTTGGTTAGCTACAGTTTGGATAAAAATAGATTCAATAACCATAATTCCTGCCCGCAAACCTGTTGCAATTCTTGGCTATTATTATTTAGTATGGAGTGCTTGGAAGATATATGATTGCGTTGCATTATTATACTTGGAAAAAAGGCAGCTATGATCGTTAAATTATACGATTGCATTAGCAAAACATAAACAGTGGGGAATGTGGAATAATCGAAGTGTAATTCTAGCAAGCAGAACAGGCCAGGATAGGATTTTTATTTGCCACAACAAGCATCGAACATCAATTAGAGAACGATTAATAATGGATGAACATATATCAGTAAAAGACTATTTGCAGAATCAAATGGTCACACTACAGAGATATGCATTGGTGCAGAGAAAAATATTTTTGAGGAACAATAATGAAGAAAATATTTAATAATATGTAGCTTTATCATTCATTTGAATTACATCTTTATATTATACATTTATCTATAATACAAAATTGTTAAAAATAACTATTTGATTATATGTAAAGAGAATGGGCTTGACTTTGATAAGAAACTCTCATTGCATTTATGTCTACTAGTATCAATATATATCTATTATCCAGTTTGGATCCATTGATCAGATGTTGAATCAGTTACAATTAATTCAATCATTTGTTTTGGGAATGCAGCCATATAATTAGTTTCATATTTTGAAGATGTTTTGTAATTGGAAGCAATGCCTAACAGTCGGTGAGCATCATTGAGCACGATTCTTAGTAAGTTGAATTACTTTTTATTATGAAAGTCATTGCACATCACTGGTCATTGGTAAAGAATTATGTATTTTTCAGAGTTGGAGTAGCTAGTGCTCCATAGCAGTTGCAGGTCAGTAGATATCTTTGATGTCCATTATTAGCGATTATTGGTTTGGTAAGCTTATTTATCCTATTGATTGGATAGGCATCTAATGCATATAGGTTGGTTGAGTATCTTCCAGAGTTGGACTAACTAGAGTGTGGCACTTTATCAGTTTGCCAAATTTAGATTAGTGGGATAGGCTTCTAGTGCAAAACCGGTGATATTTTCAAGAGTTGAACTAGCTAAAAAGTCAAAGTTTGTTTGCTTGACATACAGGCACGCATAGATTGTTATTTACATACAATGAGTTTTTCCGAGATTTTAGCCTAAGCCAGAGGTTTATTATCATTATCATTATCGGATTTATCGGATTCTCGAGCAAGAGTCAAATAGTCAAATCACACAAAACAAGCTTGAGATAGCTAAAAGCAAGAAGCGAAAGTGGGAAGAACTTATTATCATTATCGGATTTATCGGATTCTCGAGCAAGAGCCAAAATACACAAAATTACCAGTCACTGTAGAGATAAATCCTTCACAATACCTGATATTGTTCTCATCTTCCGGTTAAACTATAAGTCAATTTGCTTAACTAGACCATTAAGAAAAGAACAGAAATGAATAACGTGCTTAATAAAAAAAAAAGATTATTCGACAATCCATTGAAATATTGATGCGAATATGTTAGAGTCGATGCCTGATAGCACAATCACCGTCTAGATGCCATTATATTACTGTGAAACCTAGTTAAGCTATGCCGTCATATAAACAAATAAAAATTTCTGATGAAATGTCACAAAGCGGAAGTTTCGTTTCGTACTAAATTTAATTTACTTTAACAATTTAATTATAAAAGTGAATTTTTTGGTCAATTAAATTTATTATTGATCTATCTGATCTGTAAGTCGATAAGGGGCAGTAAGCATAACAAGCCAAAACTGAATCATCGCAAGGAGAACAAATAAGTGAGAAGAGACGCTAATAAATAATTCATACTAGTATTAACTGCAGCCGTAAGTAGCAGCCAAGTAGCCTAGCTGGGTAATCGCTCTAATGCATGCAAATTGAGTTCAATTAGCACAATTCGGGACGCCTACGAAATACAAAAATATTTAATATTAGCAACGAATCGCTTAATTTATCACGAAATAATCGCAATAAACAAATTTCACAAATGAAAAAATATAATTTTTCACGTTAAAAAGGCAAATTAATTTTAGCTCAACTCTTCGCTTAGCTCAGTCGAACTTACTTACGTTCATAGTTTTGCATACACGCTGACGTCAAACTTTTGGTGGTGGTGAGTGTGGTGAATACAAAATTAGAAGTAGTAGACAATCGCGGTTGAGATAGCTAAAACAACAATTATTTAACAAATAATGAGTCGAACTTACTTACGTTCACAGTTTTGATAACGCTGGCGTCAAAGTTTTGGTGGTGGTGAGTGTGGTGAATACAAAATTCGAATATGTAGAAAATCACGGTACGTAGCGAAAAAAATCGTAAGTTTCTATTTATATTTCTAATCCAGAATGAATAACAATTAGGCGCAAGTAACCACAACAATTATTTAACGAATAATGAGTCGAACGTTCATAGTTTTACATACGCTGGCGTCAAACTTTTGGTAGTGGTGAGTGTGGTGAATACAAAATTAGAATATGTAGAAAATCGCGGTACGTAGCAAAAAAAATCATAAGTTTCTATTTATATTTCTAATCCAGAATGAATAACAATTAAACGCAAGTAACCACAACAATTATTTAAGGAATAATGAGTTATGATATTACAATACGACTGAGGGTCTGTCACTGCTAGCATTTCTGCTATCACTGTGACTACATACTTTTGTTATTGTTTGGCTTTTTTTATAATTAATTTGTTTTTGTAATTAAATTAAATGAAGTGCATTCTTATGCTTGGCAGGTACGGGCACCGGCACGCACGCAAATTCAACCAACCCATGCGATGCTGTCAAAAAAATTCGCTGACAGGCAAATCACCGACTGACTGACTAGTCTGTGTGGACAATTAAAAAATATATTTCCATTGTTGTTGTTGTGTTTTGTGCTTTTTTTATTGCATGCAAAATGCTGGCATAATGCGGCGCCTACAAACAACGTACAACTAACGACCTAGACCTTTACATTTGTTAAGGCCTGCAAGGCAATTTAATGGTTACTACTGTTTTGTTTTTGTTTTGATTTGTTTATTATTATTGTTTGTGCTTTCCCTCTTCTTTGCGTAATAGAAGAAAAAAAAACCAACAACAATAAAACATATGAAACGTCTGAAGTGTCAGTTGAAAACAGTTGAAAGAAATGGAAATCGAGTTGAAATCGAAATGCAATGACAGTACGTCAAAGCCATCAAAAAATATTCTTAATACCGTAAAAAGGTGAATAAAGACAATATAAACATTTTACTAAAAATCTTCAAAAATCATTTCAATATAATTAATTATATAAATTTTTCGTTAAATATTGCAGATAATGCCATTAAGTGACCATAAAATGAGGATTCATGTAGTGTTGTTCCTTGTTTTATTAAAACCCTACCATACGTTTACACTAACGCAATTAATGCAGTTTTATAATTAGCCCACTAATTGAGTAGTAAGCTGGCACATTTGCCCTACAAAAATATACGATACAATTAAGTAAAAAAAATTAAGTAAAAAAAAATAATAAATCTTATAGTAAAGAGACTGTTCTGCAATCAATTGTCAGAATATTGTTAGCTGCCTGATAGATATTTGGATTTAAAAGATGATCGTCGGTTTAACCAGTTAATCACTTAAAAAGTGAAGTTCCAATATCTTTATCAAAGGAGATAAATATTTGCAAATTTAGAAACTTAGTACTTCCTTCCTTTTACACCTTTAACTTATCATTCGATTTGAAGTCTGCAAAATAAAATTATGTATAATACGTGTTTGAAAACTTTAATTGAGACTCGTGGAATCATATGAACCATGTTACAAGCACCATTAAACATGGTGTTCACCTCGTTGCTGGAAACCGCGGGGTCAGAAGAGTATTGTAAGAAGTCTCAAGTTTGTGCTTAAATTGTAGTGCTAACGACGAGGAGAGGAAGAAGAAGAGAAAGATGAATAAACATAAGGTGAAGAAAAAGAAGAGGAAAACGAAGACGATAAGGAAGAGGAAAACGATTAAGAAGAGAAAGACGAAAACGAACAAGAGGAAGAAGAAAAAAGGAGGAAGAAGCAGGAAAAGAAGAGAAAGACGCAAACGAAAAAGAAGAAGAAATGAAAAAAGAAGTCGAAGAAGAAGAAGAATAAGAAGAAAATGAAGAAAACAACAAAAAAACAATCTCTTACCTTCTTATTTTCAAATATTAACTTAAACTCTATAATTATGCTTTGAAAAAATACATAACTTTTTCTTCTGCACATATAATATAAAAAAGTTATCACATAAGATTAGGAAAATGTGATTAATTAATGTAATTATAATATAAAAATTACAGAAGATAGGTTCTTACTATCTCATAGAAATAAACTTTTAAATGATTTTTATATTTATTAACATATAATGAAGACTTAATTCAGACGTTTATTATAAGATAAAGAATAGAATAAATTATAAATAATGTAATTTATTTTACGTACTCATGTAATAAATAAGCAAATAAAAATGTTTTAAGTAAATTCTAAAGTCTCTAAAAGTCGTTTACAAATTCCCAGTGCCTTAGGTGAAATCTCAGTATATTTTTAATTTTAGAAATCTGCATTAAAATCCCTCTCCCATTAAATTAAATTGCAAAAGAACAACGCCAACAACAACAATTGATCTGATACATAAATAAGGTTTTATAATGCAAATTTCAATTACCCTAGATCTAGAAAAACTAGCAAACTAACTTAAAATAGTAACAATTTAGCCTATAATAGCTTAAGCAAAAACAACAATAGCAACGTACACTGCGATAATCGTTACATGAACGAACACGCAACAAAAATCCCATGCAACTTTGGTTGAATAACTAATTGCAATGCATACGACGACCATTACAA